CTGGAGTCGTAGCAATCAATGCATGCTATGCCACAAAGCCCATGTGCTATGGGGAGCCGTTATTTCCGAGTTTAATTCCACCAAATGCTACTTTACATAAAGTAATAATGGGGGAGTAATCTCAGCCCATGAATCACGGAGCAGTAATGCAATTTTTGGGTTCTACCCAAATCCCCTTCCGAGCCCCCACTATCCGCTCCGGTCGATTCTGCCCCGCAGAATGAGGCACAGCGGAACATGTCCACGGAACGGGGGGATGGTGTCTGGCTATCTGGCATCGACAGCTAGACTGGAACGATGGCTAAAGCTGCGACGTGGATCGAACTTGAGTTTCAGACGTTCAAGCATCGGTGGAAATTAAGATTTCAGTGGTGATGCATTGCCGAGTAACTCGAATTGTAAATACTGTGGGTTTATTCTCCAACACACCTGTGTTGAAAGAACTGGTAACGAATTGGCACGCTTTATTTACGTGACGAACCTTGCTAATTTGTTTGTGGCCGGTAGCGGCGGGTTTATCGACGCGTTTATATTTACACGAACTAAACCGAAACAAAACAAAACCCTCTTATGGATCCAAATACACCTTGTACTGAGCCACCTTGATTCTGGCTTTGTGATTGCAACACAAAAAGCCGCTATCTCACGTGTTCTACTGCTTCACAAGAAATCACTCGACGCAGTTTTACGACGTGTAAGCTGCCTTGAAAATGGGGCACACAATGACACGTGATACTTAAGCATAAATATTTCAAGTGTATGGAAACGTTGGGTTTAATCTCACGCTGCTCACTGTATCCAATTGTAAATGCTGTGCTCTGAAGTGTGTGTGATCCAGAAATGATCGACGAGCACACAACAACACATTTATTTCAGTTGTAAAAAGGCACACACACACAAGGTAAAGAAAATAATAAATAAAAATAAAATATAAGAATAAATAAAATTAAATCACGACGTTTCGATTGCAACACAAGCAATCACCATCAGGTGTGAACACCACAGCAAGACAATTTATACTGTGGCGTTCACACCTGATGGTGATTGCTTGTGTTGCATCCGAAACGTCGTGATTATTTTTTTTCTTTACTTACGTGACTTTACCGAAAGAACCAAGAGTATGGATCCTTGCAGTCACGAAATACTTCAAATCTAGAATGCACACACACAAAACCTGCAAGAGATTGATCCAGTGGGAATTCATATCCGCTTAATCATTTCCCAAAATGCCTTGTGAAATGCTGACACATTTCTAATTCTGTCTGGATTCGTGACGGTCTCATCAACAATCTTTCACTCGGCTTGTTACCGTCTACAATAAATCTGCACTTGAATAAGATTTGATTATCTCCATTGGTGGCCAGAAACCAGAGGTCAGAGTTCCGTGCCGTTGACAGATCCATCTCATCCAGCGTCACTCTTCCTCAAAGCAGGATGCACCGGATGTGAGAATGTCCAGCCACCAAAGACAGCTCTCTACACCACGTACCCAAAACATTTCACACGCAGGCTTTTGCAACAAATGTCGCCATAAATAAGTGATGTTTTGATCAGGCAAATTAGTAAAGCTAGCACGTGAAAACATGCACCAATCCATTCCTGCTTCCGCTAACTGTGGTGTGAAACAGCACTCCACACACAGTTGAACAATTAGGTACGATGCTTCCGCTGGTAGTTGCAACCAGCATAATCAGGTGACTGCCATAACTGTGTTGTCATCCATTATTAACGAATTCAAATTCGACAGCGGTTTTGAGCCTGGTTTGTATAACTATACATACACACTTGGTAGAGATCTAGAGAGAGTGGATCGGGAGAGTGGATCTAGAGAGAGGGATAGTGGATCCTAGAGAGAGTGGATCTAGAGAGAGAGGGGGATACGGGTCTCATCCCTGTAAGCGTGCACGTGCCCACCAGGGCGTTGGCACCACAAGCCGTATTGAAGTTGGCACGTCATTAAGGTGTGCACCAGCTTCTACCAAGTGCTGTTTGATGATCACCCAAGATTCTTCGGGTCGTGAAAAAAAAAACAACCTTCAATCTAATTCTAATTTATTTTTTATAAAGACACCTTAATATACACCCTATAAAGTGTACAATGCTTGCAGTGGCATGGCCAATTGCTTAACAAACCCTGCTTTCAGACCGGTTAGTACAGACATGGGCAAAGTACGGCCCCCGGGCCGTATACGGCCCGTTAGGCTTTTTAATCCGGTCCGTCGAACTTGTCCAAATATTATTATTCAATTAAATTTTTACCTTTCTCCTGTAATGCCCCAATTTCCCCATTAGATGGCGCACTTTGCCTTGCAAATAAATGCTTTGCTACCTGTTAAAAGGCCAAATCCTTTCATGTAATGATTTTTAACACGTCATTTATATTAGTTCACAACAAACACGACATCCATCTGTTCCTGGCCCGGCCCCTCTGTCAAATTTTAGAACCCATTGTGGCCCGCGAGTCAAAAAATGTGCCCACCCCTGGGTTAGTATCTGGAGACCCGCTTGTATTTTGATGTCTCACCACTTAAACACAATTACGTCGCCCGACCTCGGTGCACTTTCAGGCATGCTCAAGCGTTTCAGCACACGTCCGACTAAAAAAAAAAAATCACATCTGAAATATTCACCAACACACATTGAGTTTTCAATGCGATTTCTATAGGGTCCGGTTGTTAAAAACAATTGTCTTTCATAACCGGTAACCGCATTGTAACAAAAAAAGGTCAATAAACCTGTTAACAGTTTGCCGCACGTGCAATAACGACTAACACACATGAAAATGCAGCCCTGTGTGCGTTCGTCATCGTACGCGTGGTATCCTGGTCAGCACACTCGACTTGCAATCCCAAGATAGTGGTTCGACGCAGCCTGGCGGGCGCTGCGACCGAAACGGTGGAGCGAATTCCTGAAATTCCGCCACTGCCCTTATCCACCCATCAGTACAACTGGCAGGTCTCGTGTCGTGCGGTAAAGTGTGGATTCACACGAGTACCTGGTGCGATGTGTAAACGTCGCCACTAGGGGAGACAAAAGCGGCCGGGCGTGGTGCCGGCCACCCACTGCCCTCGCGTGCCGTGCCGTGCCGGACTTCGTAGGTGCTCGCTAACAGCACTTGCCACACGTCTTTTCAGGCTATACGGGGGATCTTTGTCTTTGGTGCTGGCCACCAACCCCTCCGTGTGCCGTGCCAGCCTTCAAACATTAGGTGCTCGTTAACAGCACTTGCCCCAACAGTCTGTCCAGGCTTAGACGAAGCGATATCTTCGCTTTTTTTTGTAATGGGACTAAATGTGCCAAGGACAGAACTCCTCATTCAGCTGCAGCGGCCGCAAAGAGAAGCAGCATCAGCTCACGGTCCACCGCAGGTCTCGCGGCAGAGCTCCACACAAGTGGAGCGCCGCTGCTGCTGCTGCTGGGACAGCGAGAAGCTCGGACACGTGGCACCCCTCCGGCTGTGCTCGAGAGAGAGGAGCACTGCCCAGGAGGAGAACTGCGAGCGCTGGGGGGGGGGGGGGTCTTGACTTTGGTGGGAGGGACACGGAGAGAAGACACAGCCGGCAGAGTCAGTCGGGTAAGCTTGGGGGGGAAAAAATGCCTCTCCGCTGGTGGTGATGTCTATGATTGCTCGTGAACATCAACTTGGGTTAAATTTCTTTCGCTAAATTGGTTTGGCGAAAAAGTGGATGTGGGTGGGAGGAAAAAAAACACGCATCGATATTAGACCGGAAGTTTTTTTTTATTCGCCAGATGTAAATCCACCGTGCCTGCATTATCCGACGGTTGTATTCGTACAACCACCCAGCGGTTTATGCAAGGGGCAAGACGCGCGCTTGAAAAGTAGACATCGCAGACCCTTGTCACATTGCCCATGGTTAGCGGTTGCAGGGCATGGGGAAAAAAATGGATCCTACGCTCATTTGCTGGGCAATGGAATCCAGGCACTTAGGAAAATTGTGGGGAGTGGTCAACAGAGGTAACAAGACGTACATTGTGCCCATCCCCAAGTCACTTGTGGGCCCCCAAATATAACTGGCCCATGCCTTTTCACCTCCCAAATATCAATATCTTTCTCAGGCCCATAATAAACTAGCACGGCCACATCAGGTATTATTTTGGCAACTGCAAATGATTAAAAGGCAATCATGTGGAGAGGTACACTGCCAAATCCCACACATGGCCTGCAATAACTGCAAATGCATTTCAGTTTAAAACACTGTATTTGTCTGGTTACTTAACAAAATAAAAAGTGAGAATTCTTAAAGATTACTTATTTTTCTAAAGTAAAACATATGGGCTACCGATGACCGTGACCTATTGCTCTCACCCACCCATGCACTATCACCTGCACATTATGATATGAACTCATATCTAACATGACACTGGTCATTTTGTATGTTTTTTACTCTTTATATGTACTCTACATCCCTCTAATCAGCTCTCACATCATGCAAATCATTTTTTAATGCAAAAGCTGCTAAAACACATAACTGGCGTTTATATAAACATTTAATTTCACCTGCATATTCACCACATTTTACCAAACTGTCAGCATCCAAGCAGAGAGCCCTATTCCATCTGGCATGGCTGTGGGATCAGGTGTTCGTGCACCAGGGGCAGAGTCACAGGGGGGGCTGGGGGGGGCTTAGCCCCCCCCCTGAAATTTTGGGAAAGTCGGTTATCGGGATAACCGGATATCCGGCTGCTGCAGAATGCTGCAGGCTGCCACCTTGTGCTGCCCTGCAGGCTACCACCTTGTGCTGCCCTACAGGCTGCCACCTCGTGCTGCCCTGCAGGCTGCCACCTCGTGCTGCCCTGCAGGCTGCCACCTTGTGCTGCCCTGCAGGCTGCCACCTTGTGTGCTGCCCTGCAGGCTGCCACCTCGTGCTGCCCTGCAGGCTGCCACCTTGTGCTGCCCTGCAGGCTGCTTGAGCGGCAGCCTTTCGAGCTTATCTAACTTATTAGCCACATCAGCGACTCCGACCTATTAATAAACTCCGCGTTCAAATCCAATAAAATTTGTTTTATACATTTGTGGCGCCCATTGGAAAACATTACACACTGGATATCTCAGAAAATTCAAGTCAGCCCCCCCCCAAAGTCAAAATCCTGGCTCCACCCCTGTCGTGCACTCAATCTTCCTTTATCCACCCACCAGCACCCCTGCAGCAGCGTAGAGAAGCGTGCGAAGTGCCGTTTCATGCCACTTAATCCTCAGAAGCTACACTTTTAGAAGACAGCAAAAAACCAAGAGTGCATTATTTAATCCCCCAGGCTCTATAGCTTTCAAAGCGGCAATGATGCGAAGATTCATGAATAATACTGCACTGATATACCCACGCATAGAATACGCGTGGCACAAATGACACGGCACGATGGCAGGTGAAAGTAATATTTATGTAGAGCTGCTCGATGGGCCTTTGCTTAATGAAGGAAATTCCATCTGCATCTTTGTGCCATCCAAACGCGAGTTACAGTAAACAGTGGCTGCGCGATGTGCTGCAGTGGAAGGTGCCATGCAGTGAGTGGCACGCCGACGTTGCGGCGGCCCGAGGGCAGCGTCTTGACGAGTGACACCACCACCGCCACCACCACCTCCTCCTCCTTTCACTGCCGGGTGGAGCTCCGCGTGCCCGCGAGTCTGAGCAACGGGTAGTCTGTGCTGCCCCCAGCTGGCATCCTCCTGCACAGCAGTCACAACAGGTTTTTTTTTCTTCATTACATTTCATTTATTTTGGTATAGCCCTGCTCTTGAATCGGGTGCAACCGCAACAAAAAAAACAAAAACATGAACAAGACAACATCTTAAAGTGACTATGTGACTGCGCAAACAGAAAAATCCAGGAAAAAAACTGCAAAGTCTTCCAGAAAAAAACCACCGTACACCAACGCTGTGTGCAAAAATCCCAGTGGGATGCAAGTCAAACAACAACAACAACCACAAGACAACTTAGCTTAAAGCCATCCGTGTAACTTCGTACTACAACAAACAAACATGGCCAAACAAAAAAAACGTTTTCGAAATCACCAAAATAAAGCCATAAGCAATGTAACAGCGATCATAGGGACTGTGACCTAAATTTCACAATAAACGACAAAAACATGTACCACCAAACACAGGGGGCCACACGACACACGCGACACACGCACAGGGGTTCCTCCTCTCTTCAGTCCTTGAGATCACAAGAGGCGGATCACAGCACACATTGAGATCAGAACAGCGCATGTACGTTGAAATTATTTCGCACCGTACATAGCCAACCGTGCGAACATTTACCGAATCGGCACGAATTGTTTATTAGCAGACACTGTTTGTCCCGTGTATGTTTTGTTTTTAAATGTTGGGTTATTGAGGGTAGGAATTGAGGTTATGGATTTTTTTGAAAAATCATAGTTGTTGGGAATAGACCCAAAGGCTCAATACCAAGTGGATAGTAGGAAACGGCACTGTTTGAGGCGGTAGAGCGGGGGAAGGACAATAAACTAAACACAAAAGGCAGTTTTACAAAAATGAGTTTTCAATCTAGCTTTAAAAGTGCTATAGCTCCAGTTGCATCCTAATATCGGAAGAACATTCCAGACGGCCACAGAAGCACATCTGCAAGCGCGCGATGCAGTGCCCCCATCTCTGCTCGACGACGAGCCAGAAGCCGCTGCGAGTATGATCGGAGTCCACGTGATTGTTGATTTTCCCCGATGACAAGAGGAGGTATGAAGAGGTGGCTATGAGTGACCAGCATAATAGAGCCACTGCTGATAATCGCAGACTGCACCAGCGACTCATTTAAAGCCGAGTGTTCGACCCAGGGGAGGCCCAGAATACATTCAGACCCCCCGATGGCCAATTAAAATTGCTCATGGTTAAGTGGCCCAACGCGGTGCCCTTTGCTTGTTGTGTACCCCCCCCCCCCCCCCAACAAGACCCATCAACTGTCCATGTAGAACCAACCAGCATATAGGCTTCATGTGTTTTTTAATTAAATAATTGAATTGTTACCATACTCTTAGGTTCTTTCGGTAAAGGCACGTAGGTAGAAAAGTAAAGTAAAGCAAAAAATAATAAATCACGACGTTTCGACCGCAACACAAGCGGTCGTCCTCAGGCGGAAAATAAAATCCAGCAGTGGAACTGCTGAACCAGCGAGAGAGCAGCTACAGCAACAAGGAGGTTATAGATGTGGTGAAGGAAGATCACAGCGAGAGAGCAGCTACAACAAGGAGGTTATAGATGTGGTGAAGGACGAACACAGCGAGAGAGCAGCTACAGCAACAAGGAGGTTATAGATGTGGTGATGGAAGAACACAGCGAGAGAGCAGCTACAACAACAAGGAGGTTATAGATGTGGTGATGGAAGAGCACAGCGAGAGAGCAGCTACAACAACAAGGAGGTTATAGATGTGGTGATGGAAGAGCACAGCGAGAGAGCAGCTACAACAACAAGGAGGTTATAGATGTGGTGATGGGCAAGCAAGCGGGGTCTGAGCTGGAAAGGAATTCCATCCCCGGACGCAAGCGCGTCAGTTGTGTTAATGGGGAAGATTAAGGTGAGAGAGATTATGGAGAGAGATTAGATTGAAATGAGCTTCCGTCGCCGCATAAGAGTATCGTCCCCGCATATGCGCACAACAGCAGTGTTAATGGGAGATTATCACTATGTTGATGGGAGAGATTAGCCAGGGAGATTAGGGGGATGAGCAAGTTAATGTCATGTCTATGTGTAACACAAGCTGCTGCGGCGCTGCCAACTGCGCCGTGAGAGGCAAGCGCGTCTACGCAAGTGGTCGCGTCAGTGAGACACAAAGCCCATCACACAGCCAGAACCATCGATACATCGAGGCTAAGGGAGCAGAGGTGGCCGTGTTAGTGAGACCCCAGCCCGTTAAAGCAGAGGCACCCAACAGGGCAATGCAATGCTAAATATTTAAAATAGTTCGTTTTATTTTTTGGCTAGATCGAGTAGGTACAATGTAATGTGTCAACTAAAACCTTGAACCAGTTGACGGAGCCGATCAAATGAAGTTGTCACGTGTGCTATGACACCAAATTGATTTCTCCGTTTAATGTAGGTCAAACAACGACGTTTGAACTCCACGAGGTAGGGGAAGGCGATCTAGATTTGAAGTTTTCGTGACTGCAGCGATCCATGCTCTTTGGTTCTTTCGGTAAAGTCACGTCCATCAATCCTTGTGTTGCGCCCGAAACGTCGTGATTTATTTTATTTTATGCCCACGTGACTTTACCCAAAGAACCAAAGAGTATGGGGTAGGCAATGTTACGGCCTCTTGCCGAGACGAGCCGGGATAAACCCGTGGTCGGTAATTTTCTGGTTAATTAGTGTCCTGAAGCGCTCTATCGTGCACTGCATCTCATGCCACGTCTAGATCTGTGGGGCCGTCCATAAATGACGTCACGCGATTTTGGACGATTTTTGACCCAACCCCCCTCCCCCCTCAAATATGACGTCACAAAGTTTAAAGCGACTTGAAACATGCCTCAAATCGCTTTAAACTATCGTCATCGCAGTGCGTACTTAAAACGTGGCGCCGCACTCTGATGTTGTAGGAGAAAACATTTATTAAGAAGCCTATTTAATCAAGTCGAACGCGTCGTGTCGTCTATAATCTTGATTTGAAGCCTTCGTGACTGCAGTAAAGTCACGTAGGTAGAAGATAAAATATACCCACGTGACTTTACCGGAAGAACCAAAGAGTATGTGTTGTCTATGTTGATTTAAAGTTGCGCATTTTGATGCGACGTCACATTTTTCAAACCCCCCCCCCTCCCCCATCGTCACAAATATGACCCCCCCCCCAAATAGGTGCGTGACGTCATTTATGTTTTCAAAAGACACTTTTGTTTTGCCTCTTCGCACGAGTGGGTGGGGAATCGGAGCCACCAGGAGAGAGAAGTCCCCCCAACACAAACGAGGGGCCAACACTCCACCCCTGTAACGCGTGGGAAACGAAATTGTGACGTTGTCCACTAGCTGCAGCACTGCTGTCTCTTGGCGAGCCATGATAATGGCTCGTCCTTGACAGCCACGTGGAAGGGAGTTCCACATTGGTGCGATCCACCGAAACCGTCGCTGCCTCGGCAGTGCTGGGCTACAGGCCACGTCGAGAGAACGACCGTTTGATTTGCCTCCAGCAGAGCCAACTTACAGCAGCCGATTTTTTTTTGTTCTGTCCTTTGATTCTCGTGCACAGCCTTTGGTCATGCAGCGCTTTCACACTCAACACTCTCACTTTATTATCTCTTGTCAATCACCACGCGACCCCACCCCCCCCCCGAGGGTTATGCACGCACACACGGCAATGTCTGTTTTCATTTCATGCTGTGACAGGTAACACAAGTCGTGTATTGAACAGAACATAAAAGCATTAATCAATGCATGTCTTGCCCTCTTGCCTAACGTTAACAATCTCTAATTGTGCGTGCACAAACCGTTCCCTGTTAACGTTGCTTACGTACCTTGCCCAAGCTACAGATGCACATAGCCAGGAGATATGTTGACTGCCATCTGTGCTCGGTGGGTAGGAGTTCCATAGGGGGATCAGGCTCCCTCCGAACACGCCCAGCCAAACAATCCCGCATCTGCCGGTGTCTGTACCTCCTCTCTCTCTCTCTCTTGTCAAGCTTGGGAAGCGGGCAAATGCGACGGGACTGTCTGATGCTTCGCTCGAAGAGCGATCCACCAGCCCCCACTGCCTCCACAACGCTGAGTTACAGGCCACGTGCATAGCCATAGCCAGGAATCAAACTCAGGTCGCTGGTTTCACAACATAACACCCTAACAAACTGCGCCACTACGCCACCACTCCACCTTCTAGACATTCTGTAATAAGTGTATAGGTCAAGGTTGTTAACTGCCACACTTTGGTAATGCTTGAACGCGATGCGAGCTGTATTCGAGACTGACGAAGGCAACCCTTGCACGGACAGAAGCCCGATCTTCGTTGCTTCCTTACAAACCATGGGAAGGGTGCATTGTGAAACAAATCACATTCATATTTTGATTTAAAGCTTTCGTGACTGCAGGAGGGAAAGATTTGATAAACCATTTCAGGTCTTAATTGATTGTTCACGCTTACAGTGGCTTTCAGACAGCATACATAAAAAATATAATAAATAAAAATTCGTCTCCCCCCTCCTCTTTTCAGAATATAGATGACTAGTCCTTCTAAATAAACTGCCAAATCGCTGCGCGTGGCGCTAACGTTTTTTTTATAAATAAATAAATGCACCGTTTAAAAATAAATTTATGCAAACCAACACACCTGAAGACGACCGTTTGTGTTATGGTCGAAACGTCGTGAGAATTTTTATTGTTATATATTTTATTATTTTGTTGTTTCCCTTCAACGTGACTTTACTGAAAGAACTAAGCATATAAATCGCATTCATGTTGTGTCGTCGACAAATGTCAAAGGTGCGCAGCAACAAGATGAGGCGATGCATCAGGCAGCCATCGGCGTCAACAGTCACTCGCACTACGCCAAAAACCCTCCAGGTACCGTTTGCAAAATGGGTGAATGGTTTTAACCGAGGCTATTTCATCTGGCATGCATATTCAGAAACGATGCCAAGACAAGTTGAATACATTAAATGCGAAATGTTATTGATGTAGGTGTCAGTGACTGAGCTTCGAGCATCACTTTTACTCCAGGCAAAAAAAAAAATCTCTCTCTCATCTCAGATGGATACAATCGGGGCCAAAACCCATGGCTCTGTACTCATTTCGTCGTCAGCCTCCGAGTTCCCTCCACTTCTTGGCTGGCCATCGAACAATGACGGGCCACTGCATCGCGCGCTTTCAGATGCGCTTCTGCGGCCGTCTGGAACGCTCTTCCTTCCTATATTAGGAAGCCGCTGGAGCTATGCACCTTTAAATCATCTAGAATGAAAACTCATTTCTTTAGAACTGCTTTTTGTGTTTAGTCTGTTGTCCTTCATCCGCACCTCCGATGAGCACGGTTGGCTGTGTATGGTGCGAAAGAGGTTCAACATACGTACCATTTAAAATCCATGAGAGGTTTTTTTTTGGGTGAGATCACGTAAATATAAATCTGTCGCTAAACCCGCCACCACCCAACACGGCAAATTAGTAAGGTTTGCCACGTAAACAAACACATGCCAACAGCTCGTTACTAGTACAGCACACCGGTGTGTAAATCCACAACATTTACAATTCGGTAACACGAAAGCCTACGTGTTAAACCGTACCGTTTCAAAGCCAAACCGTGAGACTAAATGAGCCAGAATTCGGACCATCTTTTGATTTCCTCTGTTACTCTGCCATGGAGCTCTGCATTGGGTGAGGACGTGAAACAACGCCGCTCCCAACCGCACGCAAATTAAAGAGACAGCCAGAGTAGCGTGCGCGCACCTCGTGTGTTACATTCCCAAAGGGCGCATCTGGAGTGAATTACACTCCTCTTATCTGCAAACCTCTTAACTGCATGCATTATCTTTCGATTTAAAGCTTTCGTGACTGCAAGGATTCATCTTCTTTGAAGACGGGCCGCTTGCGTTGTGGCCGAAACGTCGTGAGAATTTTATTGTGTTATTTTATTATTTTATTCTCATTCAACGTGACATTACCGAAAGAACCAAAGAAGATGTATTATCTTATTTAGAAAACCTCCTGTTACCAATGGTTGTTCACAGCTAACAGCGGTCATGAGGAACGCTCGTGGCGGGTTCGGCGATAAGAGTCGTGTCCCATGTCCGAGAGGAGAGAGATGGTGATGCCACCAATGAAGACGATCATCGCTACTCTTGCTGCTACTGAGTGATGATACTACGCTTGCTGATAATGTGATGTATTTACCATACAAGCGTATCCGAGTCTCAAGCTTGTTTTTCAGCAGGATCATACATTGAAATGTTTGATCAATGCCACTTTAAATGATTTGCATGAGGTAAGAAATAGGAATGCCGTGCACAAAGCCACGAATGCAAGATGATATCCACTCAAATGTCCGCACAGATGGGTTCACGTATCCGCTTTCTGAACTGCCATGTCCTTGGCATTTTGCAGCAAAATAAGTTTTGGAGTTTCGCCAATATACAGTAAAACCTTGGATTGCGAGTAACTTGGTCTGTGAGTGTTTTGCAAGACGAGCATTTTTTTTTAAATAAATATTAATTTGATAAACGAGCGAGGTCTTGCAATACAAGCAGTAGTATGTATACGCTTTGTCTGCCGAGCGTCACGTGATCACAACTGATATATACGAGTGCTTTGATATACGAGTGCTTTGGACTACAAACCCGTTTCTGGAACGAATTATGCTCGCAATCCAATGTTTTACTGCATATCATTCACCAACGCCCGCTTTTACTCCCACACATAGGCACGAATGAGACACCGCAATCCTTTTGAATGCACACGTGTAGAGGCTGTGTGGGAAACGTGGCCAGGATTGAGTGTGGGGGTCACGTAAGGGACAAGAGGACCACGCCCAGTGAAATCATTAAAGAAGGGCCACATACAAGAGCGCCTGCCTCTGCCACCATGCCTTCACATCTGCCTGCCCCCCGCCGTACCTTTCTTCACTATTGACGACTTGCAGCTCGGCACACGGCAGATGCCTTCGCAGAGCGACTCACGACCTCCTCTTGATACCAAGATCCAGGATGGTCACGTCTATGCGCCGCTTCTCGGTGGCAGCCCCAACAGTCTGGAACGCTATCCCACTGCACATGCGCAGCATCGCCTCAATCGTCTCCTTCAAGAGACACTTACAAACTCACCTCTGTAATCACGACTTCGAGCGGCTCTGAGCTTGGCTCCGCGCCTCTGAGTTGCGGCCGTTACGTCCGCAAATTTGCGCGCGTTATGAATTGCATTTTTATTAATAAAAACCCCCAAGAAGGTACAGATTGACGGGAAAGAGAAGAGGAGGAGAGGGGAGGGTATTAGGAAGGAGGCGTCAGGCAAAGGCTCGGGGCACCGGGGATGAAAATGCTGGTCGTCAACAAGTGTTCATTCTCTGCAAGTGTTGTTGTTGATGGACCAATAAAGTTCCCCCACCAGAACGACTCCTACACGAGTGCTCACTCTCTCATACATACTTACACGTTCTCACTCTCTCATACACGTGCTCACTCTCTCATACATACTTACACATGCTCACTCTCCCATACATACACACGCTCACTCTCTCATACATACACACGCTCACTCTCTCATACACACGCTCACTCTCTCATACTTACACACGCTCACTCTCTCATACTTACACACGCTCACTCTCTCATACTTACACACACTCACTCTCTCATACACACGCTCACTCTCTCATACTTACACACACTCACTCTCTCATACACACGCTCACTCTCTCATACACGTGCTCACTCTCTCATACACGTGCTCACTCTCTCATACTTACACACGCTCACTCTCTCATACATACACACACTCACTCTCTCATACTTACACACGCTCACTCTCTCATACTTACACACACTCACTCTCTCATACTTACACACACTCACTCTCTCATACACACGCTCACTCTCTCATACTTACACACACTCACTCTCTCATACACACGCTCACTCTCTCATACACGTGCTCACTCTCTCATACAAGTGCTCACTCTCTCATACTTACACACGCTCACTCTCTCATACATACACACTCACTCTCTCATACTTACACACGCTCACTCTCTCATACATACACACTCACTCTCTCATACTTACACACGCTCACTCTCTCATACACGCGCTCACTCTCTCATACTTACACGCGCTCACTCTCTCATACACGTGCTCACTCAGTGGTGTAACCCAACGTGTGATCTCATGCAGAGGCTGGTGGGGCAAAAAGGAACGTCTCGCCTGCATGAGGCAGGTAGCCGATGTTACAGCCCCTTGCCGGGGACTCGGCGGAATAAACGTGGGTAGCATTGCTGCTTACGAATCACACTTTTGTGCGTGTATCTGAAGCGCTGCGTACAAAATCTGGTTCCATAACGACTTTTGCCTCTTGCGACAATTCACAATTACATTGGGACATATTCCATCGATTCAGGCTTTCTCGTTCCATGTTATCTGGCCTGCTGGTGGATATCAGGTCTGGGGCACTAGGGTGGTGTGATATGACTACCTCGCCTGGTATGCAGGAGGTCGTGGGTTTGATCCCAGCCCTCATACCTGTTGTATATTTGGAATTTGCAGGGATTTTTCTCCGGGTCCTCCAGTTTTTCCCCTCCACATTTAGAAACATGCTGCTATAAATGTCCAAATGATAGGCCGCTTCGTTGAGCTATCATTTGTGGCCAGGTCGCTTCTGAAAAATACAGCTCAGTGGATCCTACCTGGTAAAATAAAATAAAAGGTTTTTTTTTTGCCATAGTTTAAGTCAGAACAATTGAGGAGTCTCTCACCGCATGGATGTGGAGTGGCCAGAACTCCAGGATGAGGACTGCTCCCGCCATGACAGCAGCGGAAGGAGAAGAGAGAGAGAAGACACGCGCGCCGCCGTTAGCAATGTCGTGACAGCAGGCGAAGCAGAGCTCCCTCACGTTGCGTTCATAACACCGTCAAGATCCCAAAGGGCGTGGGCTCACATCGAGGAAATCGAACCAGGACAAATGACAGTTCTTCATTCTGTGTAATTCTCCCAAAATCAGCCACATTAAATGCAACACTGAATGTGTACATTGGGTTTTTTTTTAAACGCTTTTCAAACAATATTGAAGGTGTTGTCCGTAAACGAACGACTTCCGTATGAAGTTCTAATGCTATAAGGCTTTGATATGCCTTTAGTGTAAAGTTGTAGTGCTGTCAGGGACTTGCCCTACTGAAAGCTGGCCAAATCGATCCAAAGGTTGCCCCAAAGCTTGCGAGACGCGAAAAGGCCCCTTCGCTCGATGGCGACGCGTTACCACCGTCGGCTGGCATCTCTCTCCCGCACAGGAACCACCCTCGCCTCTCCGTCTCCTTTGAGGTCACCCTCCCAGGTGCATTCTCTCTCCTCCGGCGGCCAGTCCATCAGCAGACTTGCCCATCGGGCCATCATTCCCTTCTTCGCAGTGTGTTGCTCTGCCCAAGCCCATGTTTACTTCCATCGACCGTCAATCTGATGCCACTAATGTTGCCCTGCCATTGCATTGGTCGACGTCGATGTTTCCGATCGGTGTTGCGATGGTGGTTTGATGTGCAATGACTGAAAACCGTCTTCGTTGGGCACATTCGTATATGTTGTTGTTGTTTTTAAATCAAATTGAGTTTCGGATAATCAATCCATCTTGCCGTTGTCTATGAATTGTGTTGGTTTCAAGGGGGCACTTGCCTGCTGGTCTCAGTAAGACACAAAATTATAAAATTATGTTACCATAGAACCGCGTTGAATCCCATATTGCAAAAAGTGTCCTTGCCTGCAAGATCAGCAGTGCAAGCAAGCCTGCCTGACTCTGCTGATGAGATAATGTGTGTCGAAACCGATCCATTGGTTTCATAATAGTTTTTTTGGGGTTATAATCGCGTACATTTTACGCGTACATTTTACGCGATCTAACCCCCAAAAAACAAACTCTATTATGGACGATATTGTAGTTTGTCAATTTTACAATGATATTGGTCGCGAAAGCATATCGTGTTAAACCGATCCATAGTTTGCTTGTCCTGAAACAATGCTGTTAATAAAACGCTCCCACAAGGCCATGCGGCTGATGGCATGTGGAAGAAATACTTTCAATTCATTTATGTGGAGATGGATATGTGGAGGAGACACGCCGTTTATTTATTGAAACTGTACTTACAGTTAGGTGATCATCGGTAATTCAGTGGTTCAGGAGAGAGCTGGTGCAATGCGTGTACTGTGAATGAACTGGGATTGCTGAAATTGGAGCTCGCAAATTGCAGTTAAAACCGAGCTTTGGTGATGCCAAGGGTGAGGAATTTGCCTTTCAAAATGTGTTTTTTCGAAGAGACCAATGCAAAGTCACGGCCATCATTCCCCACCGTCATTCCCCACCTCACCTGCGCCTGCAGCTTCTGCAGCTGCGCCCGAAGTTCCACGTTCTCCTGCTCCTTCTCATCCAGCTGATGGGGCAGATGAACAGTCCTCAGTTTATACCCTCAGCACATGCTTCGAAAATAGCAATACATTCATTATCAGCTTGCGGCCTTGCACGCACAACATATGTCGTCTGCTATCATCAGCAGAGGCACGGGATAACGCTTAAGGAGCTGTGTTGGCACTCGGATATCATTTTAACCGTGACTGTGGCCATTGGCAATGGCAGAGCCAGGATTTTCAGGTAGGGGGGGCAACCCCTCCAGCAATGAGAAATGATAGAGGAGTTGTTAGTGAGTAAGGACTTGTCCCTTGCTTTTTATTTGACGCGTGTGCTGCGACGGCGTAGCCATCGATCGAGGGACGAATTCGAACCGCGTTGTGTGATCGGCATCGCGCTCGCTGAAGGTGTCGATGTCTTCAGGGAAGTCGTGGACTGTATAAGCAACTGCGCACAATTCTGTGAGTCACTTATAACTATTATTATTATCACTTATAACTGCTTTGCCGTTACTTATTGCCAATTATGGACTCAGACTATGGTCCTATCATCTCATAGAGTCCCTGGTACGTAATAATATGCTACACAGTGGGCAGTGGGGGTCGCAAAATGCCGATTTATTACTAATAAACCCCAGTGATCCGATCGAAATTAGGGATTTCGATCGGATCATTGGGGGGGCACGTGCCACCCCCCCCCCCCCCCCCCCCCCACTGGCTCCGCCAGTGGCCATTGGTTATGTCGATGGCATCATCCGTCCACACCTTCTCATTCGCTATCAACACCGACTGCTGTATTCACCAACAGATAACGAGTATATGTTACAAGAGACGAATACCGTCCTGGATCACCTGGTTGTACATGCAAGCCAGGTTTTGTAGTCTGCCAATTTTACATTGAATGAAGTGCAGTCGGCATAGGGTGCATGTCAATTGGGCATGCGAGAGCACATCCTGGACAGATTCTGTTCAAGCAAATAAATCCAAGTGATGTTTAGATCAATAACAATCCTGCGTTTTGCTTTGTATTCGACATTTGCTTGCAACGTCAGCGATGATATATTAAAGCGTGTTTAACAGTGCTTCTAAATGTATAAGAAGAAGTACAACGGTAGAAAAGTATTTTATATATAGAAGTATATTATATATTATAAAAGTGCAATATTACTTCTATATACAAAGTAAAACCTTGGATTGCGAGTAACTTGGTCTGCGAGTGTTTTGCAAGACGAGCAAAAATTTTAAATAATTAATTTGATAAACGAGCGAGGGTCTTGCAATACGAGTAGTACGTATACGCTTTGTACTGCCGAGCGTCACGTGATTACAACTGATATACGAGTGCTTGATATACGAGTGTTTTGTATTACAAGCACGTTTCCGGAACGAATTATGCTCGCAATCCAAGGTTTTACTGTATATCTATATATAAATACACACTTGCAAGCAGGCATCCTAACCCATCTGTAACGGAGTGACATTTGTAACGGGTGACACTTGGGGCGGTCTGCAGGTGGGACGCGCAGCTGTTTGCTGAACGTGCCGAGGTGCGCTCGGAGACTTTGCACGTCCAACACAAGCGCACTGCCCCGTGTCGTTTCCGTCCACGGTGACGTTCCACACCTACGCTTAGCGTGGTCACCACCAGTCCGTGGAACTTCAGGGTCGGAGGCCACAGCCATATGTCCCGGCTAAACAAGCGCCGCTTGGAAGGATTTGATCAACCATTTCGGGTCTTAATTGATAAACCATTTCGGGTCTTAATTGATTGTTCACGCTTACGGTGGCTTTCAGACCGCATCCATTATTTTCGTCTCCCCCCTCCTCTTTTCCGAACGTAGATGGACTCGTCCATCTGAACAAACTGTAAAATCGCTCTCCGTGGTGCTAATGTTAAAAAAAACCGAAACTTTTTTCAAATTTTCTTGCTGTGGTTTTCACACCTGATGATGATTGCTTGTGTTGCAGTCGAAACGTCGTGAGAATTTTATTGTTTTATGTTTTTATTATTTTATTGTTTCCCTTCTACGTGACTTTACCGAAAGAACCAAGAATATAAGCACCGCTTGTTTACAACTCCAAATCTGGAATATGCCTTTTTATTTAATCTTTAAATGGTACAATACGGTAATAGCCCGGTTTACGGCGAGGATGCGTTCCTGAAAAGTGCACCGAATATTTAAATGACGTTAATCGGAGCAATATACAGGGTAGGTGGAGGCAAAGGCCGAGGCGACGGATACGAGAAGGGACGGGTGATGCTGTCAGCGACAGAAGCGTATTTTTAAACATCACACTGTTTGAGGATCACAGACATAGAGGTTAAATTTCTCTTTAAGCAAACGTCCGACGTCACTGTGGGGTTGGAAAATCAGGCAGGTAGAGCTCAAAAAGCCACAAGCTGGTTCAACAAAGCACATTGTTGCGGCAGGCGTGCACACACGCCAGTGGCAGGCACACGCAACAAAGCACATTGCTGCGGCAGGCGTGCACACACGCCAGTGGCAGGCACACGCAACAGAGGCTGCGTGTGGCTCAGCGCGGTGGAGCAGCCCGCGGCTCACCTGCTTATGCAGCACCATCATCTTACGGGACTGCGACTTGAGCAGCTCGTCCATGCCCTGCACCTTCTCCCGCAGGGCCACTGACTCTGCGTGAACCCTCCCGCAGCTGCACTCCACACGGGCAGGGAATTAATTGAGAAACGGAATGGATTCAATCCGTCTCTCTGCTGCCAGTGCTACAACTCACGGTGAACGTCACCGCCTCCGAACGTGCACCGAAGGCATTGGGAACTCCCTGCATTATTGATGATGTAACAGAAAGGTAAGGTTCAAGGTGCAACTCGGCAATGTATTGCTCGCATCCACTGCTGGTAGAAGAGCCCCCACTAGGGAGGGATCTACAGAGCCCTATGGAGAGGGTATTTTAGTCAATCGAGTCTTGTGGCGAGCGTATTGCGCAAGCATTGCGATTGAGCCGAGTGCACGAACTGCTCCAAAAAATAACGACCATCTCGATCAAAACATCAGTGGCAATCGATGTCATTACCTGGGCCACAAATGTAATTGGAAAGCTACGATGATTCATGTGACTATTAACGCGTTTCGTTCAGGCGAGTTTTGGTGGAAAGCCGCGGTAGGTGGTGGTTTTGGTGGAGAGCCACAGTAGGTGGTGGTTTTGGTGGAGAGCCGCAGTAGGCGGTGGTTTTGGTGGAGAGCCGCTCTTTCGGTAGCGAATTTCTTCTGGGTTCTGCGCGGTAACGCTTTGCGGCTCTGCGCAGACGGCAGACTGTCCGCTCACTCGGGCCAGGCGGCTGCGTCGTTATTACTGGCGCGCAATGACACCGTCCTCTAAGCCCTGCCACCCTAGGGGGACGACCAGGTGGACCTTCGTCCACGACACCCGCACACTCGCCGCTGATGGGTACCTGGCATGGCCAGATTCGGCACCTTTTCATGAAGGCGCGAAAACAATGGCACGGGGCAGCCTCCAGCATCCACAAAAGGTGCAGAAAGGAAATAAAAAGTCGGCTCACAACTACGAGCAAAGTATCGGGGCAGATAGAGGGAAAGCAGGCGGGCACCGGTAGGGTAACATCGTGATGCGTCTGCCAGCCACCTTCATCTCACGCCAGATGACTTCTGATTGCTTTATGTTCAGGGTTTATTTTTTTCGTACATCTTTCAATTTGAAGTGGCTTATTTTAAATCGAGCCTCCATCACTCTGCGTCGCCTCAACAGGTACCCAGCTTGGCACAAGAGCCATGGCGACGGCGGTGCCACCGAGCGGTAAACCGTAGCTCTTGCGGCTAACTCCACGCGATCCGACGACGCAGGAGGGGCAAAGCGTCTCACCATTCGGACTTGGCCCCCTGCGAGCCATCGCCGGTCGCGGTCAGGTCCGCGTCTCCGAAGGCGTCCAGCTTCGTCGAGCCACTCGACGTTGCCCACGAACGGCCGGCATTGAGAGCCCCCGACGAGGTGGCCTGCAGCGAGGCCTCGCTCGCGTGCTGCCCCTCCGCCTGCAGGGAGGTGGCCACGGGGGTGAGACGCTGCGGGCGGGGGGGGGGCGGTACTCTTGCAACAACGCGCGTACGTACAATGGACACAACGTGCGTGCGAGGGTTGCTTGCCTGTGCACTCCCGCCGCTGCCAGACGTGTTCGAAGGCCTGTAGGCGGGCGGCAGCGTGAAGTCCCAGAGTCCAACTGGCATGGCGGTCGTTTTGGTAATGGCACTCTGGAGTGGCACAGAAGCGGCACGAGCTTTTTTTTTTTGCGCGTCCACAACCCACTTATGGACATCACTCGACCGATCATCATTGCCCAGTACTGGTATCATCACTTTTTAAAGGCACAGAATGGAGTATTATGAATGCAGGGTTCACATGTGATGACAATGAGAAGTGAGTGAATTCCATTGGTTAGGTATCCTCAGTACCAAGGATATGTGTATGTATGTTGAACCTCCTTCCAACCGTAAGTAGCCAACCGTGCTAATCGGAGGTGCGAACATTTACAGAATCGGCACGAACTGCTTATTAGCAGAGACTGTACATCAGTGTATATATATATTTTCAAAATGTTGGGTTATTGAGGTTAGGAATTGCAGTTATGGATCTGTGTTTGGATTTTTTTTTAAAAATCATAGTTGTTGGGAATAGACCTCAAGGCTCAAAATGCTAAGTGGATAGTAAGAAACGGCACTGTTTGAGGTGTAGTAGATGAGATTTAATAACGTTGGCAAAGGTCATACAAATTTTGCGAAAAATGGACATAGGGAGGGGATTCCCAAGTGCAGCATTAGGAGGAATAAATCTGCAAGAGAAGAGTTTGGACCTGCAGTGTGGCGGTGGAACACCATGTGCATCGGATGACATAGTCTGGCAGAGTCCTCGTCATGGGTGGAGGAATCAGAGTTAGGTTCATGGGAACAGTTGCCATGGTAGTAGCAAGAGAAGAGTTCTAAGGAGATGACCGACTGCCAGTGAGTGACTGGAGTGACCCAGTGAGTACTGGGTCATCAATCTGACTGCTTTGCCAATTTTCGCTTTGTATTGCAGTAGTAATAATTGTTCATCGTCAAAGGAGGCTTTGACATGGACAGGAAAGCCACACTTTTTCAATGCTTCCTTAGCCAGATTAGCAATGCAGCTATTATATGACAGCTCAGGTGAGATTGTTGTGCCAAGCAGATGAATGGTTTCGCTCTGCATAAGAATATCATTATTCAATAGAACAGGAGGTACTGTGGCATTGTCATCCTTACGTAATAGCATCATTTGACTGCGGTGTTTTCCCTTGAACGCGACCAGCAAAATGCCAGCGCTAATTGTAAAGGTGTCAAACCTTAAACAACAACTGCATATATTGACCTCTCAGTTAGAAACCGAGAAATCCAAGCTTGCAGAGGAGACTCCAAATAACGGTATAGCTTTGAGAGTGGTGTGCAGTGCCAGACACGACCAAAAATACTCTACAAATGTTAAGGACTCTGACCAGGAACTCTCAAATTTGTCCAAGGCTTGAGCTCTAAAACATGAGATAACATTTAACCGATGGGTCACCTGTAGATCACACTTGACGGAATCTAGACTGATGATCACTAAGAATCGCTGATGACTGCAAGTGATGATCACTAAGAATCGCTGATGACTGCAAGTGATGATCACTAAGAATCGCTGATGACTGCAAGTGACGTAGGAGCCGATCCATACTCTTTGGTTCTTTCGGTAAAGTCACGTAGGTGAAAAATAAATAGAATATAAATTAAATCACGACGTTTCGGGCGCAACACAAGCGCCCGCCATCAGGTGGTGGTCCCACCTGATGGCGGCCACAACGCAAGCAGCTTTAAATAGAAATGTGGAGCTTTTCATGTTTTACAAATGAAACCAATTCAATTATTTTTTTACGTTTGGAACAACAATGCGCGTCACTTTTCGATTTAAAGCTTTTGTGACTGCAAGGATTCATCTTCTTTGGTTCTTTCGGTAAAGTCACGTAGAATGAGAATAAAATAATAAAACAAAATAAGACAATAACATTCTCACGACGTTTCGGCCACAACACAAGTAGCCTTCTTCAGGTGAAGGAACAGAACTGTCGGGACGACAGCGCTTCAATGAACGCTGCTAAGATTTGCAGCGTCTTTTAAGCTAGGTGGGAGAGGTAAAGCGCCTTGACAAAGGAGTTTACATATCAAACAGGAGAATTTAGCATTGAAATAGCTGTTAAAGTGTTGGATCAGCGGGGTGTCAAAGTCAGAAATTAGCATGTAACTGGGAGATTAGCATGATGTTAATGTGAGGGCTACTTGTGTTGTGGCCGAAACGTCGTGAGAATTTTATTGTCTTATTTTGTTTTATTGTTTTATTCTCATCCTACGCGACTTTACCGAAAGAACCAAGAAGATGAATACGTGTCACCTTGTCAAAACGTTTGCTCGAGGTCAAAATGTAATTCCTGAAAAAGCTCTCAGGGTGTTAACGCATCAAAAACTCAAACGAAACAACAACAAAAAACACACACATCCGATCGGTCGCAATAAGTAGCCTTCTTCAGGTGAAGGAACAGAACCGCGTGTGTGCACGCGCAGACATGCATACTGAACGGGCATGGGCACACCGCACCGCATGTTGCATGCAGATGAGAAATGTTGTTTGTTAATGTGCTGCTTTGATAGGGGCTATGGCTGGTTGTGAACATGTTTGTGTCTGTGTGTGTGCTATGCTCGGGGGCACAGCTGGTACATCAGCCAGTCATCTCAGTCGGTCGACCCGTGGCACCTGGGTCTGGCCCGTGACCTCCTGCCAGCGGGCGTTCGACACTTCACGTGGCCTCAGGGTGCACATAGCCTGGCACAAGCGTCGTGGTGACGTCACCGCCACTTAGTGGCGAATGGCGGTTGTTGTTGTTGTTGCTATGCTCGCTAACAGATCTTGTCCCAACACCGTGCAGATGAATCGGAGCTCTCCGTCTTTGCTGTATGCTCTGCGCAGAGACGGCGCGGGGTTCCCCGTGGCACCTACCACAATCTCCTCTCTGGTGACTGTCTCCAATTCACCAGTGGCTTTGAGATCAGCCCAGCTCACGGCCCTGGGTTTTATTTCCTGTCAATGACATTTTAAGATTTACTTGAGATGAGAGAGAAACGCGCGCCACTAGGTACACCGATATAAAGCCACACTCACGAGAATCACATTTAGATTGCATAACGTTCCACAGATGTCTCTAACATTTCTCAGTAGCCTAGTTATGGTCTTACGACTGGTATCTCTGTGTGTGGATTAAAAGACTCCAGAAAGTGCCTTTTGTGTTTGTCTACATATAAGTCGCCTTACAACACTTGAAATGTTTTTGGCCACGTTCATGCCGAGTCTTCTTGGTGTATCGAGGATGGATTGTGTGCTCAGAGATACCAGAAATATCTGGACAGGGTTCAGAGAAAATGATTCGGACAAAGTTTGTCGGTAGATAACTTGTGTCGCTGGGTTTATGTAGCCTGCATATTAAGCCATCACATACCCAAACAAATTTTGGTGGGCGAAGGAGGTTAAACTGGTGTGGAGATTAATCCACCACAAGAACACGTGGTACTAAATGGACTTGCTACTGGCTGGTATCAGTTTTCATTTTATCAGCTTCATTTATTTTGGTATAGCCCTGTGAGCCATTCGGCCCTTTGAATCGGGTGCAACCGCAACAAACAAAAACATGAACAAGAAAACGTCTTGAAGTGACTACGCGCAGACAGAAAAGATGGGTGCTCTTTGTTTTTTTCGGTAGTCACGTAGGTAAAAAAAATAAATGAAAAAAACTAAATTAAATCACGACGTTTCGGGCGCAACACAAGCGTCCTTCTTCAGGTGGGCACAACGTAGCGAAAGCACAAACGCTTAAGTGTGTCATTTATTTATTTTTTACCTACGTGACTTTTACCGAAAAAACCAAAGAGTATGAATCCTTGCGGTCACGAAAGCTTAAAATCTAGCGAGAAAAGATTGGCTTTTGCGGAGGAGGCAGCTTCCCCAGTAACACATCGAATGGCGCTGCTGGGCAGCTGTCATCTATAACCCTCCAGAAACAACAGGAGACATGGGATCAACATTCACAACATTAAGCAGAGCTCCGGTTTGGTAAAAGCATCTGAATTTGGCCAGTTACTGAAGTCTGGTGACCCATAACAACGGAGTCTGTTCTATGACCTCATACCAGCAATCCTCCACATGACTTAGGAGGTAAAATTGCTCACGATCTGAAGCAACGAAGAAACTATCAACAGAAACAATCCACAGACTGAATTCTGTATAGAAAGTGCATTAATGTGAAGGGGTAAACGTTCCACGCATGTGCCACCACTACAGTCCAGTATTTGTGCAATGACGCATGAGGCGGTCTCTTTTGCCGAGGAGACTTCAAAGCATAAGGAACGTAATCTTGCACGCGGAATAAAAATGCCCCCGGATTTAAAAAATAAACGTCAATGGGCATTGTAGCCCTGCATTCCTATTCACCTCCAGTTCTTCTTTCCGGTCCTCCGGCAGTGACTGCAACGAGTGAGAGGAGCTGGAAGTCACCGAAGTCTGTTTCAACCACACAAACAAATCACGTCGGTGAAGCGCGGTAAGAGCTGCCTTCACGAAAGCACGGGTCGCATGATGCACAGGCTGGGCCATCTATGGATTCCCCACTACAATAATAGGGAGAACATTGTAGGGAAAACAAGAGTGGAATTCGAAGGGCTCTACGCAACAAATTATTTGGTGATGCTGCGTTGGCAGTGGTGCACTGCACAAACAAGAACAAAAAAAACCTCAACACGTTCATCAATAAAACTGTGGCCTCAAAAAGAAAATTGAATAACACACGGTGTCTCAGGCAATGGCCGTTATTGCGAGCACACAAAGGCCAGAGAGGTAGCACTTTTACCCACTTATTACATGATTACAATACACTTATATTCTTGGTTCTTTCGGTAACGTCACGTAGAAGGGAAACAATAAAATAGTAATAATTTTATTGTTTTATGTTTTTATTATTTTATTGTTTCCCTTCTACGTGACTCTACCGAAAGAACCAAGAATATGAATCCCTGCAGTCACGAAAGCTTTAAATCAAAATTACAATACACTTGTTAAATATTGTAATATCACTCTCCTGGTACACAGCCGGCATGATTTGCTTTCAACATTCCGTCGTCGGCTGAGGTTACGCAAATTTCGCGGTTACTGTCGCGCACGCGGTCTTTGATGAGACCCCACAAAGGGAAACTCCGGCTGCGTCAGGCGAACGCGGTGGGCCGCACAATTGTGCCACCTCGGGCAATCGACGGCGCACAAGTCACTCGTGACTGACCACGTACTACACGAGGCCGGGGCCAGTAGAAATCAGCTCGGGTCGCTGTGAATGGGCGCCACGGTGGCGAAATGTTCCTTACCTGGGCTGGTATACACGGAAGGTCGTTTGCATGCCTCTTTCTCCCGCTGGTCACGTGGATTTTTTCCCCCCGGGTCCTCGGGTTTTTCCCTCCAAATGTAGGAACGCGCGTTTAGAGTACTTGGCTGCAATAAACTTCCGCGTGATAAGCCCCCTTCGTTGAGCTATCATTCGTGACCAGGTCGCTACTGAAAAATAGCTATATAGCCCCGTGGGACTCACTTGGTATGCATAAAATAGTTTTAGTTTTAAACGGGTCGGTGTATTTTAGTGACTATTACTGCAGACACAACAAAGGGAATGTTTGCAGGGCAACCGAGCAAAAAGAAGAGGGAAGGGGAGAAGAGGCAGGCGATGGAGGAGAGAGCAGAGAGAAATCCCAACAAGTGATTGGGAGGGGATGCCGAGGGATAAGGGAGGGAAGCGAAGGCGAGTTTCACTGACAGCCCCTCGCAATGCAGAGGCACCGAGAGACGAATGAGGGTGGGAGGAGGACAAGGTCACCTACATCCAACTGGCACATGTAAAGAGGCTGAGCACGGTTACTTGATGAAGCCATCTTTTTGAAGCGTTCATGGGTCACCCGTTTTAATAAGAACGTGACCACACTCTTTGGTTCTTTCGGTAAAGTCACGTAGTGGGTATAAAATAAAATAAATCACGACGTTTCGGGCGCAGCACAAGCGTCCGTCAGAACGTGACTACATACAACATTAGTTGATTAAAAAAAAAACACACATCCTTATATTCGGGAATGGGTGGGAAACGTTATTCTCACCGCAGCAACCAGGATCCAGCGTCTTGGGTTCAAAGGATTTAACAATTGTGATTGGGCACACACATTTCTGGATTTACAATTGACCATTTTTTTGCAAAAATTGAATTATTTCATGCAATCGCCGGTGTTGGAGAAGCAAATCCGAGTGGATAATCCCAAGCAGAGAGCAATGTTGCCATGTGGCATGCAAGCTGCAGCCAGCTCTCCGTGAGCGTGAAACCACGGGGGAATGTAAAGTGGAAGGTTAAATCAGGACAAAATTACAATTTAACATTTATTCATGCATTTCAAAATTATTTACGCTGGGAAGCCCTAAGTTATTGAGTTTTGCAGGGATGTCCCTTACTAAAGGGCACATTTTTATTTTTTGAATCATGATTTTTTTTATTTATAATTTACATATGTGGACAACTATACTGCCAATCCATAAAATCCAAGATAATTAAGAAGGTTTAAACATGTCTCATCTAAAAGGGCCATAAAAGTGCATATTTAATCTGAACAAATATGGAAAAAAAAGTCGCACGAAATCATTATGTTAAAATGTAAAAATAAAAATGAGAGGCAGTGGCTGGGTGGCCCAGGGACCAGAGCACAGCGCCGAGAGGCTGGGTTCACATCGGGGTTACAGCCACCTTGCCATGGAGCTGGTTGGCAAGTGCAGCGAGCTGGCGATCGCAGTCACCCATGACTGCACGGAATAAATGTACACACAGGTAGTCCCCGAGTTACGCTGGTCCGACTTACGATATTTCGATCTTACGATGGCGATAGCGATAGGACAAAATTGTTAAATATTTTTAATTTTGCGCGGCAGGCAAACGCAGCAGCGTACTACAAGGTACGATGCTGTAACTTTATCATCGCCATCCTCCTCTTCCGACAACTAAGTTAATGTAGCCATCAACAACCTAACATCGTTCAAGTATGCAGACGACGGACAGAATCTTGGTGAGTACAGTACAATATGATACGATACGTTCAATGCATGTATGATACGTAGCTTTAGCGATTTCATTTTAGGGTTACCACGATACGTTCAATGCATGTTAAAAGTTTTTTTTTTTGTAGCAGATAGGATTGTTTCCTGAAAAAAACTTTCCATTAATCTACAGTTCATATAGGTAGGCTAAGAATTTACCTTGTTTTTTTACTTTACATTTTACTGTGCAATACAGTATTGTAATTAATAAATACATACGGTATTTAGTTTATGCAGTGCGGTACTGTTAATCGCTCTGTTCAGCTAAATTATAACCATTCTTTAAGACTCCTGGGTAGGCCAGGCCATCTTCGACTTACGATATTTTTGACTTACGATGGGGTCGTCGTAACGCATCTCCATCGTAAGTAGAGGACTACCTGTATTTCACTCACTTTGACTCCCCAGAATCCCTGCCCTGGGGATAGACACCAGGAGGGATGGATCAGGAGGTGGGGGGGGGGGGGGGCGGGCGGAGAGGGGGTGCCGACCCCACAGAGCCTCGCCGCTCGTCCACCGTGGGGACGGTGATGCTGACTCCGGCCCCATGCCGGGCTGGCAGAGCCTGGTTCTAGCAATCGTAGGAACACGGCACGATGTTCCCCCTGCCCAAGGGCCCTAGGTCAGTTCCCATTACTGCTGCTATCCACGTTCCCATGGAAGGGGCCAGTTTCTCCATGGGGATAGCAACCACTGACTTACCCTAGTAAGTTCACAAGCCAAGTCAATCCCCTTCGATATTTGAGGGATAAAAGTTCAATTTTAGAGTAAGCTAATTCTAAAATGAGTGTGCTTAGTGTAAGAATTGCTTTTTTACATTCAGGAATGGGTAGGAAACGTAAGCTTCACCGCAACAACGAGGGTAGAGTCTTGGGTTCAAAGGATTGTAACGTGTGATCGGACACACATTCTGGATTTATAATTGACCCTTTTTTTGCTAAAAATTTAAATTATTTTATGCAATCGCTGGTGCGGATAACCAAATCAGAGTGAATAATCCCAGGTAGAGAGCAATGTTGCGATGTGGCACGCAAGCTGCAGCCAGCTCTCCATGAGCGTGGATGTTTAGACCGGCAAACCTCACGATTCCGAGTCGCACGTGCCCGCCGCAGTACTACCCGGCCAACGTTTTGTTCGTACTTTACCCCAAAAGAGCAACAAAATAGAACCACTGACTCCATGCAGCCAGTGCCAGATGACGCTAGTGCGGGGTCTGTAGCACATGTTATAAAGGGGTCCTAAATAATAAAAAAACACACACATATTTTTTTTGTACTTGCATAGTAAAGTAATTCTATTTTTTCATTTGCTATACGTAAAAGTTGAAGGCAGTATAGTACTATAGTAATAAAGCAAGCGCAGAATCACTGAACCGGCGTTGATAGCTTGAAAGTAATTTAACGCGGGGCCCTTAAAAGTGCGGGGCCCGTACCATGTGTAGCTACTTTTGCTACTAGGATAATCCGGCACTGCATGCAGCGCAGTTTGGCGGTGTGTGGTTACGGTATCAAGCTACCTGAAGAGGCAGCTAGACAACCAACGGGGTTATCCGATGAGCAATCAACACCGCAAGACGATGCACATGCGGATATATCTTCTTGGTAGAATCGTACGAAACATTTTCGCAGCTGTTTGATAAAAACCCGGAGCAGCTTTGGAAAACTGCAACTCTTGTTCAGTGAGCAGTTTATAGCCAATGCCCGTCCTTGCTCTGTCTATATATATAGAGGATGCTAATGTGCAGTGTAATCACCACATCAATCTGACGTCAAAATCAAGGCAAGGGAATTACGAACTGAATGGGTTTTTTTTATTATAATGTATTGGCAGCAGGACTGAGTGATTCACGTTGTGTGTCTGGAGCACTCAGTGGCCTGGCTAAGATGGACTGCAACATAATTTTTACGTAGATTATTTTTGTCATCGACGGGTATACCGCACGAAACACAGGTGCATTCTATATATATATAAAAAATAACTGTTGCATGTTTGCAATTTGCTAAATGTATGACACAATGCGATAATGGGAAAATAGATCAATCGTAACTTAAAATGAAACAGATTAATGTAAAAATCAGAGCTGCCAATGGATGGTAACCTTGGTTCTTCAAAATACACAGTCATGTCGAACAAAGCCTTCTCATATTCGCTCCTCCACATCAAAGTAAACATTAAAGCATTTTGTACGAACAGTAATACCCACAACAGTCGACAATAGCACTGCCTCCCAACGGGAAGTAAACCGGAGGTTGATGTTCTGTGTAATAGGCCTTTCTTCCAAACAGACAGAGAGAGAGAGTAGAGAGACTGACGGACTTTACGTTTGGAAATTGGACTTGGCGCTGTCAGGGGCCATGTGAGAGGGAGTGAGCGTGGTACACAAAATGGTTAAACAAGCAGCGTGTGTAGCCGTGACCCTCATATTCTATCAGCACACAGAAAGAAAATATATCTCCCCGGGTCATGTGATTCGCTCCGTGTAGCGGTGAGCTTTGCACGTTCACAGCAGCTGAACACGAGGCAATCAGCCGCACGCGTGCGGTGCCTCGTGTTGGAGGGGCCGTCTATGCACAACGGGGTCACTCTGCTCGTTGAGGTCACTGGAAACACAGGACTCTGCTAATGAGGCACGGATGTAGAGTTCGATGCTTGCACAAATGATGCTCTGAAACAATGCTCCAGGAAGCCCTTTGGCTTGCGAACTTTGAGATTCCCTCTTTATTTCGATTTGCTGTTTGTTTAGTCACGTTTTTAGTTTCTAAAGAGGAAGCATATCATGAGAAAATCAACCCCCTGCAGAGTAGAGAGTTCACCACGGTTGTCCCATTTCTTTATTATTGATCCACCAAAGCAGCAGCGTGGAACACCGCTTCTCTTTCCTGCCTGGAACTCGAACGACAGAGGAGCCCCTTTTTTAGTTTCCCGTGGAGGTACGAGACGGACTGTGGCTTCACAGCGCTATGATGGATGGGGAAAGCACGGAGAGACGTTCAGCCAGCAAGCGGATACCAAGGCTGACCGTGACCCCGGTGACGGCGTGGATGATTGCGACGCTGGTGGTGGTCAAGGCGCACCACGCATGGCCGCGCGCCGAGGTAAAGTTCCACTGCCTCTTATCGTCCGCGGACATGACGCAGCCCAGAGGAGTCGAGGAGCGACCTCCTCTGCAATCCGTGTTCAGCCGCGGCTCTGAGTTATCCACAAGTGGTCTCCGAAAAGTGCCACATTGCTCACGGATTTGAGCTGTTACCCTGAAGTGGTGGAAACTCTCCACAAATGTCCACGTTGGGGATAAAAGGTGTTTTTTTTTTTGTGAAGAGATCGATGATAGGCACCCCTCCGTTAGTTTACTGCGACCAAGGCAAGTTTTGCCATTTACTTTGTAAGCCAAACACGCTTGGTTTTGTTCTTAATTCTCAGTGTAATTATCTTTTCTAGAAAACAAACGTCAGATTGTAAATGTGCTGAGCAACACAGCTACTTTACGATTTGAATGAGTCCATTGCAGAGAAGATTTTTACTAATAAAGAATGGCATATGCTTACTGTATAAACCCTGCCAGGGATTATGTATGTAGCTATAATATAACAAATTTCAAATCACTCAACGTAATGTGTGTGTGTTATTGACTTGCATTCGGTTCCCAGGAGGTGCTGCTGCTGCTGCTGCTACTGGTTTGGACGGGAGTCACTATAATTGAGTCACGAGGAAAGCCGCCTTCCATCATCTTTACAGCAGAATAAAGTCGCTCCATCTCCGCCTGCCACCAAAAACAGCAAAAACGACAACATCAACACAGCCCCTGCACCCAGCTCACAGACCTGAGGCCCCTGCACAGAGCCCTCACTGAGAGACTGCTGCACCCAGCACACAGCCCTCACTGTGAGACCCCTGCACCCTGCACACAGCCCTCACTGTGAGACCCTACACCCAGCACACAGCCCTCACTGTGAGACCCCTGCACTGATGAAACTCGTAGATTTCACTACAGGCCTCTGACATCACGATCAGCGGTGACGGAGGGAAACGTACAGAGGGGGACAGGCGAGACTGGTGCGAGAGGCCACTGCACTCTAGAAATGCATGGCTCCATAATGTATAGACTGCTTGTCGATTAATTCGAATATATCAATACATCAAAACAGATTAAACATTCACTCAGTGACGGACAATGCATTGCGTGGAACCACTGTTAATAGAGGCATGTATTGGTTCATGGCAATTACCTGCTTGGATGCACTTACACACTCCGCCGCCACTGATCACCACTATTCACAATTCAAGTTGGAGAGATTAATTGAAACATGATATATATACACACCAGATGCTTATTTATTTGTGTGGCAGATATGACAACAGGCTTAGCTTTTAGATCGTAGGGCATAGCCATGCTGAAGTATTTATATATTCCTGAATGTAGCCTGCAAGACGTGATAAGCCGTGGAAGTAATTCTGTACATTGTGAGCATTTTTCACATTGGTGTGCATTATTTTGCACCATATCTCTTCCCGCACGCATATGTTGCCAGCTAATGGAGACTCTTATTTGCTGAGGCATTAGTAAAACGAATGGCGATCTGTGTGTAGTACGAACGTCTAACCGCAAGCCCCTCTCACCTCGATCTCCTTCTGCTTGTTCAAGAGCTGCTGTTGGCTTGACTGGGCCATCTCGTCCCTGCTGCTCTGCTGCGCTTGCTGCTGCAGGCCGCAGTCGAATGACTCCGCATTCCGGCTGGACGGAAGCTTCAGGGCGCTTGCGCTGCCTCCGCTGCCTTGGTACTCGCCGGAGTAGGCACGGCTCACTGGGCCTGCTCCTGAGCTGCTATTGAACTCGGTGGAGTACGTGCTGCTCGCTGGCCTCGCTGCTGTGCTGCTCTGGTACTCGCTAGAGTACGCGGTGCTCGCCGGTTTGGCGGACGTGCCGCTTTGATATTCAACGCTGGAATAGCTGTTCACTGGGCCTGCTCCTGAGCTGCTATTGAACTCGGTGGAGTACGTGCTGCTCGCTGGTCTCGCTGCTGTGCTGCTCTGGTACTCGCTAGAGTACGCGCTGCTCGCCGGTTTGGCGGACGTGCCGCTTTGATATTCAACGCTGGAATAGCTGTTCACTGGGCCTGCTCCTGAGCTGCTATTGAACTCAGTGGAGTACGTGCTGCTCGCTGGTCTCGCTGTTGTGCTGCTCTGGTACTCGCTAGAGTACGCGCTGCTCGCCGGTTTGGCGGACGTGCCGCTTTGATATTCAACGCTGGAATAGCTGTTCACTGGGCCTGCTCCTGCGCTGCGATTGAACTCGGTGGAGTACGTGCTGCTCGCTGGCCTCGCTGCTGTGCTGCTCTGGTACTCGCTAGAGTACGTGGTGCTCGCCGGCTTGGCAGATGCGTTGCTCTGGTGCTCGCTGGAGTAGGTGGATCCTGCCGGTTTGGAGGCTGCGCCGCCTTGGTACTCGAAGGAGTAGGAGCTGCTGCTCGCTGGTTTTCCGGCCGTATTGTGTTGGAAGCTGCCGGAGGCAAAGCTCGAGCCGAGCACCGAGCCGTTGGATGGAGACGGGTGGCTCGAGCCAAATGATGAAAACGTTTCTGATGAGCTGCGATTCTTCTGCAGCAGGGACCCAACTTTCTTCAACTCCTCCTGCGACGCAAACAAACGCAGTCGTCCGCACGCAGGGTTTAGGGTGCTTCACAGGTATGGTTTGAGGCTTTTGGGGCCTACCACAAATGGATTTGTGCTTACACCCACCACATACACGGTTTACAAATCCCATATACAGACAGACTTCACTTAGCACACAAGATGCGTTCCTGGACAAGTGAGCCCTTATCTAATTGATGCCAAAAGGGGTCATTCTACCATTGTATATATGGGGATGCGTTCCCAACATCGTTATTTCTTTCCCATGATCAATATATGAGGGCTTCATTGGGGTATTGGTAATAGCAAAAATAATACAGGTGGTAAACATTATTTCATAAATAATAATAATTTATTTTGAAAGCATTAGTATTATGTAATGCACTTAAGAATGCATTCTACTGTACTTCCACAAGGCAGCGGTGGGTGACAAGACTGGAGCTGCTGGTACTCCAAATCTGCATCTTCTTGATACCCTCAGTCTAAACTTCTGTGGTGAGGTTTCTCTTAGGTGGCACATAACACTCTATCCTGGTCTTTGTGAGTTCTCGCCTGGCTAAACGAATATAGAATTTTTTTCAAAGGAAATTGTGACCACGAATCACGGTGGGGTGTGGTCTGGTTGGCTCAGCTTACGTCGCTCTCATTGGCTGAGAGAATGATGGGGGCGGGTACGTTTCCTCGGCCAGTGACGTTGTTCTCACTCGCAAGCACTTCGTAGATTTTTTTTAAATTTCCTTAACTTATTCATTAAACAAAAAATTCGAGGACAAGCACTATAACGAATCGGCATTCTACGGGGTTGCGCTTAGAAGAGAGGTCTGCCTGTATGGTAAAACTCTCCTCTATCAATCCTCCTTTTAGCTACTCTTCCTAATTATCCATGTCTCTGTATCGATCTGCAGATCTTCCTATAATACATGAAGTGGTTCTTCTTCTTATTATTATTATCCACACTTACCCACGGATAAGAGGTACAACCCAGAAGCTGATGACAAATTCACCTCATTATCTGCGCTAATCTGTTTCTTCAAGAAGTTATCAAAATAGCTCGTGATATGCCCGTGTGTATATACAGCAAAAAGTAGTAGGGGATTTATGTAAATTATAATGTGTGTTTGTGTGTCTGTATGCTCATCAGTTGACTAAGATATTTCAGTCATCTCAGCCAGTAAAGCCACAACACCTGGGTCTGGCCCATGACCTCCTGCCAGGAGCGATCCTTCCACACCTCACGTGAGGGTGTGGAAGTGCACCAAGCCCAGCACAATCGCTGTGGTGACCTCAATCTTCACTTGGGGGTGAATGGCAGCTATTTTTCTTGTTATGCACATATCCGTCAAGATATGCATGCTCAGAGGAATCTGATACTGCTGTGAGTGCCATTGTATGCATGCCTATGAATGTAAATGGATCTGTGTATGCTGTGTACACTTAGCAAGGTGAGTTGTACCTCTATGAATGCATCCGGCCTCCCATTACTCGAGAAGGACTCTGATGTGTAAGTTGACTGGACCGCGCCTGGCTGGTTCATGCTCCCTAGCATTGCCTCAGCCTTGGCAAGCTCCACCTGTTCACCAAGCATAAATGCAACCAGGATGTCAACTACACTAACAGTCACAAAATGTGACAGGGTCACACTTGCAAGGTCAGACATAATGCAAGGGTCAGAGCACTTAGCCACTGGTGCCACGTGGCCGAGCAGCAGCATCACGGCCCGGGCCTAGGTCCTCACACTGCAAATTACTCATCCTTCCGATTTCCTATCTCCATGCTGTATTCCTATCCCCGTGATCTTAAAAAGAAAGTACATTTTCAAACAAATGTATCACAGGTATATGTTAAGGCGAGAGTATATACGAGTACAATATTTAGCTTCCATAACGACTAAAGCTGTATACTCTTTTTTTATCACTCACTGGTTTTGGGATTGGCCTGGCTCTGAGCGTGGGGCACGGCCTGTGAAGTGAGCCGGGCCAGCAGCTAGCTTGGTGGACCTGATTGGGATCGTAATGCAGGCAGCACTTGGCGCTGTAGGAGGGGCGTGCTCTTCGGCCCCGTCCAGTGCAAACACCACGCTGCCAGCACAGCTCATGATGGCCGTGGAAATTAATCATTCATGGGCCAATTGAACGGAATTTTGGATTGGCACCTTTTTTTCCCAGCATTGCACCCAGTGGTGTAAATTCCTGCAAGTAAGTCCGTCAGGAATCATGTGGATATTTTGGCCACAGTTCTCCGTGTGGAATGGACATTGAACAATTGTAGCACTGGACCCCAGCAACCAATCAGCAGCTGGGGAGTGCAGAGGGCACTCAGGCACGGGCTTCCTGAGGTCATTGCGCTAGCCCCACCGACAGAGCAAGTCAGCCAATCAGGCTCCAGTCCATCTCGTGTACAGTGTGCAAAAGACAACAATTAAACTGTACAAAAAATCGTCAAATGTGACTTCATTGGGCAACTCCTCTATACGATTATCAGTTGTCTTACAGGGGACACCGTGAATTCTCTCTCTCACAAAAAACAAACTATTTCAGCCATCCGATATGAGCAGAGGGTTATATAAACCGTGTTCGTGATGAGTACTGAACCTTGATGGCATCGATGTCATTGTTCATTCTCGTATCCTGCCCTCTCCCTCCAGTTGTTGCAAATGAACCAGGGCTGGTGGAGTTGGACTGCAAACGCACACATGACACAACGCGATACAGCGCGCCAACACGCGCACACAGAGATCCCCGTGTTCTCACGGTGAGGCAGTTGCGACGCAGCCCACAAGTCAAGCGAGTGTGCGTGAACAAATATAATCACGCGCTCTGCGGACAATCGTACGACACGGCTTCCACTTGGGTGCCATGGCAGCCCTTTGCCTTTGTGAAGCCCACGAGACGAACAAGAGGCTGGCGTGGGCAGGCACACCACGCCCGGCTGCATTCAACTCCGCACTGTCAATGCCAACGTTCTCGGGCACGAAGCACGGCCTCCGCTGCTCTTGGCGAAGCCCATGCGGAGTTGTCACACGGGCACACGGAGAAGCCGTCGCTAGCCGGCACCGCCACCAGGGACCATCGGTGGACTGCTAGCGGGTTAGGCGTTAGTGATGTGCGATGCAGGCTGATGCAATACTCACACTCCCCGAGCTCGAAGGCTGTCTGTACTCCCTAAACACGCACACAAATTGCAGTGCAGAGACACAGTGAGTTCAGGTAAAACAGGTCTCTTAACTAGCGCACGGCTTAAATACTTGTTTCATTACAGCACTCTAAAAGTGCCACACCACAGCGGCGGCAACAACAACACACATTTTTCTCGATGTGAGCAGAGTTTGAACATGTGCTGTTACGATTATGGTCTCACTACCATTCACTGCCAGTTCACGAAACATGCACCATGCAGAAAATACGCAACTGACACAAACAAGAACACGCTGTGTGATGTGTGTCTATGACCAGCTTCCCCTGCCCCTGATATCTCAACGAATCACAAGCAGAGGCTGTTGGGCGAAGAGGTGGACGCCAGGTGACGAGGCTGTGATTGGAGCCGACGTCTGGAGGAGCCCACGTGACTTCACTGAAGCTCCACTCTGATGACAAGGGTCGAGTGCCCCACCGTTCCTATGAGTTATCTTATTTTATATTTCTACAGCACCTTAGCTCAAGGCACTTTACGTAGTTTAGGGGGCGGTAACAAAAAACCGAGCGATTTAGATGACAGGGGACGTGCAAGGGCCGAGGAATGAGTGTTGTTTTTTTTTTCAGTTTTCAGTTAATTTATTTTGGTATAGCCCTGTGAGCCATTCGGCTCTTTAATCGGGTGCAACCACAACAAACAAAAAAACAAAAACACGAACAAGAAAAACATCTTAAAGTGACTATGTGACTGTGCAAACAGACAATCCATTAAAAACACCAGCAAAATATTCCTGAAAAACGCACCGTACACCAACGCTGTGTGCAAAAAAATCCCAGTGGGATGCAAGTCAACAGAGGGCAACATAGGGGTCAAAGAAACGGCAGGGGTGGGACGGGATGGAGTGGAGGTGTGAGGGGAGTGAAGAGGAAGGGAATGGGCAGTGGAGAAGAGGCGAGGCTTTGAGTGAGGAACGAAAGGAGGTTAAATAAGCGACGTTAGCAGCACGGGTTCAATGCGATCAAAGAGAACCTTCTGGAGACGCATGGCGTCAGGGTCATTCGCGCGTCCCACTAGGATGTTAAAATCACCAGCGATGATGACCTGGGATTTCTAGGTAGACGGGGCCGCTGGGTACTCAGTCAGCTCCGAGCAGACCGCATCTTTGACAGATCCGCGGCTCTGTACAGCAGAATGAAGACCGGAGTGAATCTAGATTTGAAGTTTACGTGATCCTCACCGAAAGAACCAAAGAGTAAGACCAGAGCGGTTGCGAGTAAAATGCGGCGATCAGGTTTGTGTGCAGAAGTGGGACAGGTTGTGGGCTTCACGAGACCGCGAGGGGTGGCGTTTGCCAGACGGAGGCCTTCATGAAGCAGAGGACAGGACAGTGGCTGATGGTGGTGGTGGTGATGATGATGATGGATAAGGGGCCGTCCATAAATGACGTCACGCACCTAGGGGGGGTGGGGGGTCAGACATGTGTGACGATGTGTGACGAGGGGGGGGGGGTTTGAGAAGTCTGACGTCACATCAAAATGCGCAACTTTAAACATCAGAGTGCAGTGCCACATTAAATGTGCACTACAATGACAATAGTTTAAAGCGATTTGAAGCATGTTTGATGGTTTTAGGGGAGGGGGGCAGAGCTTTGTGACGTCATATTTGAGGGGGAACCTGACTTTTTGTGACACCGTGTGACGAGGGGGGGGGGGGTCAAAAATCGTCCAAAATCGCGTGACGTCATTTATGGACGGCCCCTTAAGAGAAGATGACAAAATATGAAGAAGATAATGGAGATAACAAGACAGAATAAGATCAAAATGGTGTCTCGGCTGCCACCATTTGCACCAGTCCTGATCTCACCACAGCTGCGTGCCAAGGCGCAACACAAAAACACAAAACACTTGGCCATTACTATCGGCCTATTATGTATGATTTTTATTTGATGAGAGGCGTTATACAAATTCCACCTATTCTCCACACTTATCCATAGATGGGGATCGCCTTTGGGAGTGGTTCACACGATCGCTAAAATCGCACTCCGCTTTACACATTTTTGCAACTAACAAAAGTGGCAAATGACGCCTATGAACTGCATTCATGTACAGGTACGAGTGACCCAGAAGATGTCTCTGAAAGAGTTTTTTTTTTACATTCCGATTGCCCACGTGCATCTGCGAGTGTCAACGCCGATAATGGGAGCGATTTTCCACAGATGATAGTGCCCCTTCCAATGGAGTTCCACTTTATTTCCTGTACTAGTGTCGAGGAGTTCCCAGGACGACTCGGAGACGACGTGAAGGTTAAGAGCTTGCGCCAAAGGTTTATTATAGTTTCTACATCATTAGACCGCCTTTGCCAGTACCAAAATGTAATAATAGGGTTTTTGCCATTTTTTTGGCGTCATCTGGTCGAGCACCAATTGGGTCGAGGCTCAAAAGAAAGCCGTCCCTTGGTGTGGACCAGGGGCGGAGCCAGGATTTCAGACCGGGGTGACATTCAACAAATTTTAATTTCAAGAATGATTTAGAGAGTCAGGCTGTTGAACCAGACGCCGTCGGTTGGCGACACACTCTGACAATGCAGTTGGCACGGAGTCCGCCAGACCGAGTGTCGTACACTTATACGCAGAATGTCACCCCTGTCACCCCCCCTGGCTCCGCCCCTGGTGTGGACCAATCAGTTTCAAGGACAATGCATCATATATTATCATAGTATGTTTTTTGTTTACATTTTGACTGCAGGTATTGTGGTTAATGCAGACGTGAATCCTTGTAAAAAAAGGTTTCCGTTTTGTTGCCAGAAAAAAGGGGAAAAACCCCTGTAATTATTTTATTATTATAGTTATTAACAATAAGACAAAGGGTGAACAACTTCCCAGGGGGTTAGGGGTCCCACACTGAGTCCTGCCACACGACCCCACTCTGTCTGGTCCCAGCCCGGCTAGCTCCGGTCTCTCTCTCTCTCGTGTCGGATCGGGGACCCTGCCGACTCCACCGACCGGAGAGAGAAGCACCTCCAACGGCTACCACCGTCTTCTCCCCAGACTCACCACTCGATCCCTCTACCCCTGGTTCCACCTTCACCCTTCTACCATGACCCGTTCCCACAGTGACCCCGCTTTCGTCACGGGGTCCTCCTTAAGTACTTAAGGAGACATGACGTCATTGCCCTGCCCCGCGCGCGTGACGCCGCGTTCCGTGACGTCATCGCGCTGGACGGCACACATGACGTCACGTCCCCCATTTTTCTCCTGTACATTAGTAAAGAGTGGAAATGTTAAGACAATTGTTTGGTGATGCTGCGTTGGCAGCGACACACAAGCACACCCATCAGAAAAGACTCAACACCTCCATCGATGGCACTGCCTTCAACGAAAACATATATAATTGCCGACATTTGGGGCAACGGCCCTTCTTCACGGCACATCAAAACAGAGATACCGAATCTCTGTACGGTGGGCATCTCAAGGATGTAGTAAGATATGCACAATAGTTTACCAAAGTGTGCCTCAAAATGTCGTACAACTGAATGGCATTTGTAAAATGTACCTTTTAAAGCACACACGTTTCAACTGTAACACTGGGCATAGTTTAAAATATCTTAACGAGTGTACACTGCATTTCAGGAGGATGGAACTAAACTGGAAATAAAAGTCACGGACGTCATTGCTCCTGTAACTTGGTGGTCTGCACTTCATCAATTCCAATACCTACAGTAAAGGTGGTTGCAATTCCAATACCTACAGCTCAGTGACGAGGGCCACGTTGTCTTGATGCAGCAACACTATCCATGGTGTTGGTTCTAAATCATCAACACTATCCATGGTGTTGGTTCTAACTCATCAACACTACCTGTGGTTTTGGTTCTAACTCATCAACACTATCTGTGGTGTGGTTCTAACTCATCAACACTATCCGTGGTGTTGGTTCTAACTCATCAACACTATCCGTGGTGTTGGTTCTAACTCATCAACACTATCTGTGGTGTGGTTCTAACTCATCAACACTATCCATAGTGTTGGTTCTAACTCATCAACAGTATCCGTGGTGTTGGTTCTAACTCATCAACATCCATAGTGTTGGTTCTAACTCATCAACACTATCCATAGTGTTGGTTCTAACTCATCAATACTATCCATAGTGTTGGTTCTAACTCATCAACACTATCCGTGGTGTTAGTTCTAACTCATCAACACTATCCGTGGTGTGGTTCTCACTCATCAACACTATCTGTGGTGTTGGTTCTAACTCATCAACACTATCTGTGGTGTTGGTTCTAACTCATCAACTCTATCCGTGGTGTTGGTTCTAACTCATCAACACTATCCATAGTGTTGGTTCTAACTCATCAATACTATCCATAGTGTTGGTTCTAACTCATCAACACTATCTGTGGTGTTGGTTCTAACTCATCAACACTATCTGTGGTGTTGGTTCTAACTCATCAATACTATCCGTGGTGTTGGTTCTAACTCATCAACACTATCCGTGGTGTTGGTTCTAACTCATCAACACTATCTGTGGTGTTGGTTCTAACTCATCAACACTATCCGTGGTGTTGGTTCTAACTCATCAACACTCTCCGTGGTGTTGGTTCTAACTCACCAACACTATCCGTGGGGTGGTTCTAACTCATCAACACTATCCGTGGTGTGGTTCTAACTCATCAACACTATCCACGGTGTTGGTTCTCACTCATCAACACTATCTGTGGTGTTGGTTCTAACTTATCAACACTATCTGTGGTGTTGGTTCTAACTCATCAACTCTATCCGTGGTGTTGGTTCTAACTCATCAACACTATTCATAGTGTTGGTTCTAACTCATCAATACTATCCATAGTGTTGGTTCTAACTCATCAACACTATCCGTGGTGTGGTTCTAACTCATCAACACTATCTGTGGTGTGGTTCTAACTCATCAACACTATCCGTGGTGTGGTTCTAGCTTATCAACACTATCCATGGTGTGGTTCTAACTCATCAACACTATCCGTGGTGTGGTTCTAACTCATCAACACTATCCGT